TGCAAACCTCACTCAAGGAAAAAGATCTGGGGGTGAGTATAACACCGAGCATATCTCCTGAGGCGCACATAAATCAGATAACTGCTGCAGCATACGGGCGCCTGGCAAACCTACGGATAGCGTTCCGATACCTCAATAAGGAGTCGTTCAAGACACTGTATACCATTTACGTCAGGCCCATACTGGAGTATGCAGCACCAGTTTGGAATCCACACCTAGTCAAGCACGTCAGGAAATTAGAGAAAGTGCAAAGGTTTGCAACAAGACTAGTCCCAGAGCTACGGGGGTTGTCGTACGAAGAAAGGTTGAGGGAAATCGGCCTGACGACACTGGAGGCCAGGAGGGTCAGGGAGACATGATAACGACATATAAAATACTGCGCAGAATAGACACGGTGGACAAAGACAGGATGTTCCAGAGATGGGACACATACACAAGAGGTCACAATTGGAAGTTGAAGACTCAGATGAATCAAAGGGATGTTAGGAAGTATTTCTTCAGTCATAGAGTAGTCAAGTCGTGGAATAGTCTAGAAAGTGAAGTAGTGGAGGCGGGAACCATACATAGTTTTAAGGCGAGGTATGATAAAGCTCATGTAGCAGGGAGAGAGAGGACCTAGTAGCAATCAGTGAAGAGGCGGGGCCAGGAGATATGACTCGACCCCTGCAACCACAAATAGGTGAGTACAAATAGGTGAGTACGCGCTAGCCCCCTTAATTCGCTGGGGGGTTACGTTCCAAGATCACCCGGGAATTTGGAAAAACTGAGAAATATGGACGCTTTTAAAAAAATGCCTATAAATGCCTATTTTTATAATTTAAATCCTAAATATGCCCCCAAAACACTAATTTAATTTCATTAATTTTAAATTCAGCTTAATACATCATCCTTAAAAAAAGTGAATGTAAAGATAGACCCGTATACAGTCCTGTACTGCTATGTCTCGCGGTGTGCTAGAATGTAAAATACTGATGTTACCCCCATTTGTACTGTAATTCATGCTAGCCCATTTTCTTTGGTACATTGTAATTCATGCAAGCCCGTTTTCTTTGGTACATTGTAAACGAACGAACGAACGAAAGTTCAGGTAAGATCCCAAATGGGATGAGCGGGGAAGACGGGACAGACGAAGAATAGTGCTGGAGAGGAGTGTTCTTAGTTGTAGAAATAGAGCCAGGGCTTAACCCAGCAGCTAAGTCGATCGTGGGACAGACATTGAGAACACACATAGCAGGCTCCTCTGTTGGGACTCCGGTGGGTGAGTGGGGAAGTGTGGACAGACGATGAATAGTCGTGAGAGGAAGGTCTCGAGTTGCAGATGAAAGAGCCAGGGCTAAACCCAGCTACGTAGCACTGAGAGGCAGTGTAGAGAGGGCACGTTGAGGACATAGAGGAGAGAGCAGACTGCAGACAGTGCTCGCTGGCTGATATGCTTCAGGCTGAGGTGAAGAGCTGGTTTGGACGTCAGGTGTCGGGAGGTTCACGTTGTGTGTTGCGGAAGTGTGTTGAGTGTTTGGCTACACTTCGCTGGTGATGGAGCCACTCTTGAGTCTTTTGAAGTCTCTCTTGGACATGTGGAATAGTTGCATTCTGAGGTTGGAACAGTTCAGATTCGTCACGAGGTAAGATAGTGCGTTTTCAAAAGGAATTTGGTGAGGTTTGGTGCAGGTGTACTTAACAGCTCCCTCCTTCATTAAGTGGAGCATATCAGCTGCGCTCATTTCGGTTGGGAGGATGGGGGTGGTGTAGAAGGTTAGAAACCCATTAAAGGCTTGGCTTAGGTAACGGTTGCCTGTGGTTTTTTCTTCGGTTACTTCTTCGACTACTACTTCGTCGTTGTCCGAGGGTTGTTCATAATGTTTTGGTACTATTTCGTCATCTGTGACTGTGTTGAGAGGAAGCAGGGAGTGTTGGTCGGTTGTGATTTGTTGGGCTGGTGGTGGGTGGTGAAAAGTGGCAGTAGACGGTGGTGTTGGTTCTGGAGTAGAGTCTTGGTCAGAGATACGAGTAGGACCAGGGGTTGAGGTGAAGTTAACAATGTCTGGAATTAACTTGAGGAGGTCTTGTGATGGTGGCGAGTCTGGAAAGTTGAAGTTTGGCATGTTGTTAAGGCGAAACAGTTCATTGATTGTGGTGTTGAATGAGCCAGGGTTAGCAGCATTAGTGAGGTGTGCATACATCATACCGTATAGCACCTTGGATGGAGCAGCGTCAGGACGAGCAGAGAGGGACTGGCTGGGTGGAGATGATTGTTGTGTAGCTTGAAGGAGTTCGGTGGTATCTGATTGAATTTTTGCAATGGCGGCGTATGTTGGCGATTTAGAGTTGTTGTTCTTGGTTTCTTCAATGATTTTCTTAGACAGAACTTCTTTACGTAGAGGGCATTTTGCTGCAAGGGTGTGGTGAGTACCTTTGCAGTTGAGGCAGGTAGGAGAGGTAGTGGTAGTAGAACATTCCTTGAAGTCATGGCCGTCTTTACCGCAGTTTGTGCAGTACTTGTTCCCTTTCAGAGGACAGTCAGGCGTTGAGTGGTGATAGGAGTAGCAGGTCCAGCATGGCGAGATGTGGGCGAAACGTTCGGGTTCTATGTGACTTGGATGGATATGATAGTACGAGATAGCTAGGCCGTCAGACAGTGCTCTAGTAGCCATATCGATGTTGGAGAAGGTTAGCTTGATCATTGTAGAGGCGTTGGGGATCTTGGTGATATGTTCAATCGACGCCCAGGTATTTTGTTCCTCGATCGAGGTCTTGAGATCCTCAGTCGATAAAGAAGTGACGAGTTTGTCCAGCCGTTTGATGAAAACGGAACGTTTCGCCAGCAAAAAAGGTGAAGGGGAGATGGTGAACTGTCGGTCTCTGAGGGTTTTCATAGAAGTGTCGGCGATCAGCTTTGAGGCTTCATAATCGTCAGTACAGACGACGATGAATGAGTCTTTCGTCGAGTGGATGGCCGTAAATTTAACCTGTAGGCAAGTCTTTACAGCAGCAGCAAGGGCAAGCTTAGTCGAGTCATTTATTACTCCACTGTTGGGTTTGATCCTTACACGGTTTGCAAACATCATGAAGGAGTAAGTCAGGCTCTGGTACGATTATTATAGGTTCCCCTCCCCGATGGGGATCGAAGGAACACTTCTTTAGGTGAGGAGCGGCTGTGTCTTATGATGATGTGTAATTCATGCAAGCCCGTTTTCTTTGGTACATTGTAATTCATGCAAGCCCGTTTTCTTTGGTACATTGTAATTCATGCAAGCCCGTTTTCTCTGGTACATTGTAATTCATGCAAGCCCGTTTTCTTTGGTATACAGTAATTCATGCAACCCCATTTTCTTTAGTATATGTACGGTAAATATACGGTAATAATTTGTTCTCTCTACAGCACTAAAAAAATTATACAGTATTATGTTTTGTGTGGAAATTTTGTTGAATTTACGTTAATATTTATGTTAGAAAATTATTAAATTATATTTTTCTTAATATTTAGCATTAAAATGCATAAAAAATTATATATTGCCACAAAAGAAAAAAAAAAAAGTCCGCGAATTTGCGGGGATTTCCGTGAACAATTATTAGTTAAGTTCTAAGGAAAAATCTGCGAATTACTGAAGCCGGGAATTCAGAACAGCAAATTCGCAGAGGATGGGGGGAGGGGTTATGTTAATGAAAAAATTAATATTGTACCAAAAGAACCTTAGGAAACTTACCTAACCTTATTATAACAACCGCAATTTAATTTAGACTAATCTAACTAAATATTTCTAGATAAATTTACACTTATTTAATAATAAACAATGATATTTTTTGTTAGGTTCAGAATGATTAGTGCAAAATTACTGCATACACCAATTTTCGCTTGCCTTATTCTGCGAGAAGAGCATTGGTATTTAAGGCAAATTTGTAGGTTTCACCTATTCGGCAAGACATTATATAATATATATATATATATATATATATATATATATATAATATATATATATATATATATATATATATATATATATATATATATATATAATACATGGTATTGTAACCACGAACAAGTGGTATTTAATCAATAACACTTTGACTAGCCGTGTTGGACCTCCAGCACGCTTGCTGGAGGTCCAAGCCCCTCCCCCACAAAAGCCCCTTTACCCCCTCCCTCCAGCCATCCCTAGGACGACCCCTACCTCGGCTTCCTTCCCTTACAGATTTATATGTTCTCCAAGCCATTCTACTTTGCTCCATCCTCAGTAAACGACCGAACCACCTAACAACCCCTCCTCAGCTCTCTGACTAATACTTTTAGAAACTCCACACTCCTAATTTCCACACTGAGTTCTCTGCATAATATTTACACCACATATTGCCCTTAGACACATCTCTACTGCCTCCAGCCTTCTCCTTGCTGCAACATTTGCAATCCATGTTTCACATCCATACAAAAGTGTTGGTACCACTACACTCGTACATTTCCTTCTTTGCCTGCCTGGATAACGTTTTTTGTCTCCATAGATACTTCAAAGCACCACTCACCTTTTTTTTCATCAGTTCTGAAGTTAACCTCATCCTTCATAAACCCATCTGTTGACAAATCAACTCCCAAATATCTGAAAACATTCACTTCTATATTCTCTTCAATGTGATATCCAATTTTTCTTTGTCTAAATCGTTTGGTACCCTCATCACCTTACTCTTATCTATTTTCATTTTCAACTTTCTACCTTTACACGCCCTCCCAGACTCTTCCACTAACCTATGCAACTTTTCTTTAGAATCTCCCAAAAGCACAGTATCATCAGCAAAAAGTAACTGTCAACTTCCATTTTGTATTTTGATTCCCCATAATTTAATCCCACCCTTCTCCCCAACACCATAGCCTTTTCTAGTACAATCCCGTCTATAAATATGTTAAACAACCATGGTGACATCACACACACACACACACACACACACACACACACACACACAGTTTTTATTTAAAGATTTTGAGTGAGCAAAACATTAATTCTTGTCTTCAGGTGCTGTCAGAGGGTAACGTGAGCAGGTCGACCCTTCACCTGGCACCCAACAGGAGTAACAACGGGGCCGTTATCGCCTGCAGAGCAGACAATCCACTCCTGGACGGTACAGCTCTAGAAGACGCAAGGAAACTTGTCGTCTATTGTGAGTCTTATTGTTTTCTGGTCTTTGTTTTGTCCGATTTTCCTGTCGATGCTTGTGTGCTTTTGTTTCATATTTCTTTCTTTTTCCTTTTTGTCTTTCTCTGCCTTTGTTTTTTATTCTTGACAGCATATTTTTTCTCGTTTTTAAACATCAAAGAGCTGCTATTCTGCCTCGGTTCTTTTCAAAACGCAGTTTTCATCTGTGGTACATTGCCATCATACAGGATACGACCAGAAACCGTCATAACACTCTCCTACCTCTCTACTGCAAGGTCAGCAAAGTCAGCAGCTGTAAGG